TACATCTAAGTGATGTGCAACAAGCAGAAGCCTATCCATGAAGGTATGAGAAATAAAAAATGAGAAGCTTCAGAATCGAACACGATCCGAATTGGGAAGGAGTTCACTAAGAAAGTATCTTCTACTATGGCTCCACTCGTATCATGGTCGCGTGGTACGACTGCATAAACCTAGCCGATGACTAAAGGATGCGGTGCTGAAGGCGATGGGACATATGGGACTATCTATCCCTGAGGAATCTCCTGAATAGCATGTATCTGGCCTGCTGTCCCCTCAATCCTCAGAATGGTAGGAGGTGCCTCGATTCTCCACTGCTGTCCGTAACCACAACCCTATGACTTCTGACTCTATCCACAGTTGTGCTACTATTGTCCGTATCCACGGCCCGCTAGTGCGCTATGTAAGGACCATGAATTTTTGATACTAGTTAAAATAATTTTTTGATAATTTAAATATTTAATTATTATTTTTAAAAGGGTATTTGTATTTTTTTGATTTTCTAGGAATTTATATGATTTAAAGTCTAAGTTTTATATTTATTTAAATGATTTAGATATTTATAAATTTATTTAGTTTAGTAAAAATTTTTGGAATTTATTTGTTATATTATCGATACTATTACGTACTATTTTAAATAATACATTGTATTATTGTTAATATTACGTATTATTTTGTGTATTATGTTGTATTATTAATTATGTATTTTTGGTATAGTTTGTTGTATTATTTCTACTGTTACATATCATCTGACATATTAGTATAACTAGTACATTTTACTGTATATATAATTATCCCATAATTATTTGATTTTAAATATAAGTAAATATATTTTTATTATTAATTATTCTTGTTTAACTATACAATATGCGTATATTTTGACTATTTCGTATCAACTGTTGTATTATCATAACATGTATGTTTTTATTTGTAGATAATTTTTCTGTAATTAGTTTAATTTTAAAGTACTCATAATTATTTATTTTAATTATTTTTGTTTTAAACCCTAACCTTACACCCTATATATATTTTTTATTTTTGTTTTCTTCCTCTCCTGTTCACAAACACCCACCTCCCCTCTTCCTCCTCTGCGTCGCGTCTCACCACAACCGACAGCCCGCGGTCAGCTCCGACCACTGCCAGCCCCATCACCTGCCAGTACCGCCGCCCAGGTAGCCGCATTCCCTTTCGTCGTGACCGCCGACTCGATAGCTGTCGAAACTGTGCCCATCTCCCTCTCTCAGACTCCCTCCGACGCCGCCTCCGACACCATTCCGTCGTTCTTGATTAGTTCCGACGACCAAGCCCCTCCGGTCCTCACGTCGCCTGTTGCCACATAACTCCAGCCGCCCACCTTGCTCCACCCCTGACCCCTCTGTTCGGACTCCCTCATCCAGACCAGTCGAGCCTGAGCTCCTTCCTTTGAAACCCTCCGACCATAACCTACCTCTCCTCCCGCTGGCCACTAGTCCTCCCTCCTCCCTGCCGGCCAACCCTCCAGCCCAACCGACCCCGATGTCCCTCGTCAACCTGAGACGCCGCCTGCCCACACCCAACGCCTCCTCCTCCGCTCGCCGGCGACTCGTTCGACAGCCCCTAGACCACCATCAACCTCCTTGCAGCCGCTTGTCACTATCGCCTCACCCACAAACACGCTCATCGACGTCGATTCGTTCGACAATATCATGAGGCAAGATCCCGTTTCCCTTGACTTGTATTTCCATTATTTATATCCGTTATAAATTGATTGCATAGAATAGACTGCGATATGTTATAACCTGCGTGGGATTGTTGACAAACGATACTATATGATATTGATTACTGTTGTAGTGATATTCGTGAAGGGAAGTATGATAAGTATTTTGAACCGTATGTGATGAAAGGATATTTTAACAATTAGATTTTGATTAATTATGATATGTTTTTGGAAGAAAGAATATTTCTAAAGACTATTTTGAATCATATAGTAATAAATATGTTAAAAGAGTTATTTTGGAAAAAGGATTATTTTGAATTATTAAGAAATAAATTTTAAGGATTTTGTTTTAAAAAAGATTATTTTCAGAATTAATAAATTTATGATCATGACGATTGTAAATTGCGACATTCCATGTGTATTTATTTGATAGTTGTAGCTACATCCTGCACTGTTATTGTAGTCGTTCACGATTCTTTTTCATGATTTAATTATGTGATATGCCATGTCATCGTTGTACCAGATTGTTTGTATTTATTGTACTTCTGTGATTGAGAATCATTAGGAATCCACGGCTTAGTGGCTTATGTATGATGAACGAGACCTAGTGACATGTGTGGGTGTGTTGACTGAATTTAGGTGGTGAACCTGAGTTTCAATGAGGATTATGGTTGACTGGGTGGGAAAGTCCTTGTTCATGTGATCGGATATAAAAGTCCTTGTTCATGTGATCGGATATGACTGTTGATATATCTTCCAGGCTTGCACCAATGGATCGGTGTCGCCACTGGGGTTGGTTTGTTGAGTCACAGTGGATCGGTGTCGCCACTAGGGATGGTTGGTTGGGTCAAAGTAGATCGGTGTCGCTACTTTGGTTAATGAATTTATTTGATTGGATGCACGTAGGGGATATGCGAACAATCAGTTATCCGATAATATGAGCGTTGTCTCTGTGTAAGATGTGAACTAGTGACCCGTTATAGGATGGCTAGTTACATGACCGTGTTATTTGAATGATCTTTGAATTCTTGTGAGATGTATGCCAGTTATATTTTTTTCATACATAGATCGGAATTAATATTTGGGATTGAAGTGGCTCACAAAAAACATGGATTACTTCTTTCTCAAAGAAAGTATGCGTTGGATCTTCTGGAGGAGACTGGTCTTATAGGATGCAAGCTTGCAAATACCTCAATGGAAGTAGAGGAGGATTTTTGGCATGAAGATAGCAAACTCTTTGAAGACACTAAATAGTATCGAAGATTGATTGGCAAGCTAATATACCTTATAGTTACTAAGACTGATATATCTTATATTGTTAGCGTTTTGAGTGGTTTCATGCACAAACCTAGAGATGTTCATTGGAGAGTGGCTTTGAGGATCCTTGCTTATATGAAAATCTCTCCTAGAATGAAGTTATTGTATAAGAAGTATGGAAATGTACATATCGCAGCCTATTCAGACTCGGGCTACACAGGAGATAAGGAGACAAAGTCTACTACCGAATATTGTATATTTGTTGGAGTAAACTTGGAGAAGCAAGAAACAGAATGTAGTATCTTAGTCTAGTGTGGAGGCCGAGTGTACGGAAATGGGACATATTGCATGTGAGATGATGTGGTTGAGAATTTTGATGCTAGAACTTGGCTTTGTACAGTCTGGACCCAGGCCTATGCACTGTGATAATCAGTCTGCTATCTACATTACCAAGAATCCTATTTTTCATGAGAAGACGAAGCATATCGAGATTGATTGTCATTTTATTAGAGATGCAATGATGAAAGATGTGATTTGTACTCCCTTCACACCTTCTGAGCAATTGGAGGATATTCTCACTAAGGCAACATCATCCAAAGTTTTTTCTATGTTGTGTAGCAAGCTAGGCATGATTAATATCTATGCTCCAGCTTGACGAGGAGCGTTAAATTAGATAGCTATTAAATTATGTTTAGTTATTGGATTAGTGGGTAATAAGCCCATGACCGTATCCGCTCTTGTATCATATATATTCTACTTCTTCTCAAGAATAAAAATATTTTTTCGGTCTATTTCATAAAATGTTAAGAGCGGGGAGATAAAGTGATATTTCCATGTATTTAATAGTGTTAAATTCCTTTTTTATTTTCGGTGCTATGCAAATTTTATTAAAACTAAATTCTATAAATATTTAGAACTCATTCCTCCTTTCACATAGAATATTTACCTTACAGATTTAGTTTTCTGTGATTGGTTAAAAAAATCAGATACCAAGATACCATTTCTTGGTATCTTGGTTAAAAAAAAGGAAGGAATAAGAAAGGGATCCAAGATACCATTTCTTTTGGGAAACAATGATAAAAATGTATAAAAACAATCGTGGAATCTGATTATAACGAGAACTCAGAAAGATTAAATATTAGAAAATAGAAGTATGAAAATAAGCAATTTGGCTATCATTGCATATTTTAAATTTGGAATACTAAAATCTGACATAATACTTTTGCACTTATTTCTCTCCTAGTCTCTCCTCTCTTTGTCTCTCTCCCAAGGGCACCCGTTAGAAAACCCAAAAACTTATCTATGCTATTATATAATGAAATAGTGGGAGTTGGGAAATTTTGAATAAGTGGAGGATGTTTACTTCATTCCTATCGTATTTGGGAGCGTAAACTTGTAGTCTTATAGGAGAAATGTTGTTTTTTTTTTCTTTTTTTTTCTCTTTCTTTTTTCTAAAACTTTCTAAAATAGAACATGAGTATATCACTGGATCTCATTAACTAAAATATATATTGCATTGTTGTATTATAAGACATATAAATATGAAATAACAAGGCTCTTTTCTAGAAAAAGGATATGGATAAATACACCAAAAACAATTAGAATTGCAATACGTTCTAATATAAATATTATCAAATGTGTATATCTAAATAGCTTAAAACATAACTAACGTAATAATCTGACGATAAAATATGCACAAGACTCTTTTTTATGATATTGTTCAAGATATCAGTCATCACCCAAATTGAAAATCATTTTACAGCTAGTTCCAAATAAGGTAAGAGAAAATATCATAAAAAAGATCTTACAATATCAGTGAAATGTAAGGGTATTAAATCGGTCCTTTTTATATAAAAAAAATTGGAATGATTAAATTTTTAATGTTTGCATGTGTACTAATGTTATTAAGTCTTGGAAAAAAAATATACAAGGCAATATCGGATTAAGACAAACCACCTTGCCATAGATTCATTGAAGATATTCAAAGCCCAAAGCCATAACCGTGCAACATGACATAATCTTGACTTCCATAGAAAAAGAAGCCTCTTGGTACGATAATCATAATTAGATTTATTGGAATCAAATACTTAATGAGTGTCATACTAAAAGCTAATGCAAAGAGCTTGCGCTGAAGAACCTGCACAACATCGGGCATTTTGCCAACATATATTACATAAAATGCTTCAAAAGGAAAACATTCCTAGATGAAAATTGATTTTTCCAACTCCAAAAAATGTAGACGTACAAAAGAAAAGCATCAATAATCTGATCCCCAAACATGTGTTTGCAAATAAATACTTCGATTTTTTCCTCTAGCATACAAAAATACTCCAAAGAGCACTCCCATCTGATGGCGAGTTACTTGAACATAATATACTCCAGCGTTCGCTCAACCAATCCTACTTTCAGCACTTGGCTTGCCACTAGCCCCTGCTGATTATAGGAATGTAGACAACTTGGAATTTTCCTGCAAAAGGCAAGTATCTTGTCAGTAGGATAATGGACAATAGCTTGTCAATAACCTACTATTAGATTTTCTTGACAAGACCCATCTATTATTTAGGGTTTTGTTAGCACCATTCTACATGACCCACAGTTATGGAACTCCATTGTACATGTCATGAAGGTTTATGCTGTTCAGTTTCAATAACTGGCCCCGTTAGGATGGGAAACAAACTTGATACATGAATTTGTTTCCATCCTTGATACACAGAAGTCATATCGACTCAATATCATTGACATTTGAATAATTAGAACATGGTTGATACTAAAATGATGTAAAGCATGTTTTCAGCAGAGCCACAAATCTTATGTACTAATAAACATCATAATCATACTTACGTGCGCTTAGCATTTGATCGGGCAGAATAGCTAGTTCATCCATAACTTAAGCACCCTATCCTTGCCTCCAGATGCTACTTTCTCACCATCAGGACTCCAATCCACAGCAAACACCTTCAATAAAAGCATTTAAACTGAAACTTATCAAATGCACAAAAGATTTATCCATTAACTCATCTTATTCTGATAATAAATACCTCATCTGCATGGCCAGGAAGGTCTTGTTTAAGTTTTTTTGTTCGGATATCCCATACCTAAAATCAGCTTAAAATATCAGTATTGGGTGAACGGGAGATAATATCAAATAATAAAAATGTAAAACCATACAGTTCATGCATTTTAATAATAATACAAAAATATATCTAATAAGATGAGACAGAAGGCAAGAAGAAAATGTTCCAAAACTGTAATGCTACAGCAATAATATTGTAACAATTTTTCTCAAAACAATATAAAAGTGTTAAACATAAACGGGGGAAAAAATCTATGCAAGTTCTTAAACATCAATAAGTTAAATCAACATGAATTCATTCATATTGTAACATAATGCGTATACGGAAGCCAGGTTCGTTATGAAAAAAGACATGAGTAACGTATTATGTTAATATGAACCCTCTTAACTATGGTGTCTACCTTTAATGTGGAATCCTTGCTTCCACTTAATAGAAGCCTGCTATCAGCAGACCAGCTGTGACAATAAAGCAGAAGCATGTCAGTGAAGTGATGAGCTAATAGAAGAGATGAGCACAAGAAATAAACTGGACCTGATTTGATATACAGGACCAACATGACCTCTGAAAGATGCAACAAAATTCCCTGTAATCCCATTCCACAGCTTAACAGATTTATCAAATGAAGCACTTGCCACCCATTGCCCATCTGGGGAGAAGTACACATGGTTTACAAGCTGCAAATAAAGTATTGTATTTGTCAAAATGTTGAATATAAGAGCTAAGGTGAAACCACTCTAACTCCTTATGGTAGCGACAATATTTTACACAGGCAAAACAACATAAACAGAAAGTAGCAATGCTGCTTTATAATAACCTATAACATATAAAGATGCCTGATGAAGTAGAAAAAATTGAAAACAACTAAAATTTTCTATGCAGGATAGGAAAGTTATAATTAACTATCTCGATAAAAAGAGAGAAATAATAAATCTTTATATGAGATCCTTATTGGCAAAAGAACTCTTTAGAACAGGGTAGCCATAAGATCGCGGCAAGGAGCATGGACAAGAAGTAAAATTTATCGGTCATATGTACCTGTTGGTGGCCAGTTAAATGAGCCTTCGGCTGCTTGCTAGTGAGAGGTTCCCACAAATACAAATGAAAATCATCAGACCCGGAGACCAGTCTTTCAGGAGCATTGCCTTTCATTTTGTTGTATTTTGCAAGAGCTGCCTGACATTTAACACAGTAATAATCATCACGATTAAGAATGAACAAAGAGAAATTAGTTAACAATAAAGAGTAATTACATTGCACAGTAGAAGTTCCTGTAAAAGTAAATTAGTTAAGTGCAAATCGCACGCAAAAGAATAATTACAATGCACAGTAGAAGTTCCTATAAAAGTATATCAGTTTGAAAGTAGAGCGCAAATCTCAAGTCAACAGAATTCTGGCTTATCAGGCACGCAAAAAATTCTGTAAGACTAACAAACATTAAGTGTGCAATTTTCGTAGATAATTAGCAAGCCAAACATGTGAAGGAGAAAGAAGCAGAATGCAACTCGAAAAATCTAAGGATCTCAATTACTTCATCATAAGGCATGAGAAAAATCTACAATATGTAATAGAACACTGAGGATTAAGCTGATAAAAGAACGGGGGACTTTTTTCATTGGAGACATTAATGGAGACAAGAAAGAAACCAATGCCATGGTATTTCTCCAGCAACATTTGTTATTAGGCTAGGTAACAAGGAGAACAAGGAGAACAGGCTAGGTACAATGCAAAGTTAGCAGTTGAATCATTGACAATTATGTGAATTCTGATAACAGAAACAGCTGTATCCGCATTAACTTGACAAGGATGACAGTGGTTGTGGTGGAAAATTATGTTCTAGTATCAACAGTGACACATAAGAGGAATCAAATTCTTCAATCAAACATAAGCATCTCTTTAACCTAACAAAATTTTCTTTAATATTTTTTAGCAAAAATTCTAGCCCTATAAAGCTTTTAGCGAAATTCTAGTAGGCTCTTTTCCCTTAGCAATTCTAAACATATATTATTTACATTTTTATATAATTAGATTTCATTAAATACGATTAGATCACATTTTAGGACATTAAATTATATATGCAAACCATCCGACGTGGCACTCCAATATTACTACATATCTCCATTATTTCACTAATATCCGCAATCCGATATGAATTTTGGCTTTGACATCTGATATTTAATACCTTGGCTAGACTTAAATTTGACATCTAGCAAAATAGTATACATCAAAAATTCTATTTTTTAGAAATGAATATGGAGAAAATATATTTGCATGCACATTCAGAAGTAAATGAACGTGACGAATGTCATATATCATTAAGAGTTACCTCTTTCATTTCTTCCGGGGATGAATATGTCCGTCCAGTATGATCAAATGCGCCAGTACGAAGAGTATATTCGGTGCTTAAAGCAAGTGAATTCACCCAATGTGCATGATTCTGAAGAGAAAATCACCAACCTTAACAGAATAATTAAAACTAAATAACAGACTTAATCAAATCATCTTATATGATTAGATCATCAATCCAGAATTCTGATATATGAATTATGTGGAGGAAGAAATTCTTAGTATTTTTACACTTTTTAAAAGATACTTAGATGCACACATATATTCTACAACACAAGAAACCACTATATAAATTTTGTATTAAGATAATCATGTTTCTTAGAATTATCTACGTACATACGTACATGCTCCGTAAACAAATATATATAAACTTGCTAAGATGTGAGAAACAAAGGTAAAACCTAGTGTAGAGAACAAACAAGAATTATTATGTTCACCGGAATGCTCAGAGTTTAGCAACATGGTAATGCCATGTTTCAAGAAATGTGGAAATCAGATTCCTGGGACTCTACTGGCAGATGAGAATATCGTATTCTCTGAACCTGAGACAACCTTAAGAGGTAGTTTAAGGAGGAGAAAATGATGGAGAACCAATTGAGATGGTTCAATGCGTGTGTCTAGACTATTAGGTACTCTAATTAGTAGGAGCCAAAGGCAAATTCTTTGTTCCACGAAAAAAGATAAGGACCCTAGTTGATGAGGAAAGAGCAAGGGTAGAATGAAGATCTAAACAAGCATGGGTTGAGACCATCAGAAAGTATGACTATTAATAGAGAAGATGGCCTTTAGGAAACCAGAATGAAGAAAATAGATTCATCAAGTCAACCTCATAAAAATGAGAAAGGCTTACTGTTTCTGCCATTGTTTTCTCAGAAGCTTTCAAGTTCACCATGATCATGAAGCAATCGGCCAATCACTTCTTTCAAAGGTAATTAATTGAAAAAACAATGTTCTCAGAGACTAATTGCATAAGCTAATAATACATTGTGCATGTATCATGGTGTTTCAGAAATTTGTTTGCGGGCCATAACAAGCAGACACCTTTGGACACTGGTTCTAAGTTAATGTAATTCCTTCCATTCTATAATCACTAACTTCATCATCATTAAAAAGAAAGAAATGATATTTCTTGAGGAACCGGACAGGGATAGCAGCTCATTATTACAGACCAACTTGATCACAAAATTTGCCAGATTCAAAAGGACTGTGAGCCAAGAACAATTATCTGCAAGAAACACGTTACCTTCAACTCACGGATCAACTTTCCTTCGGAAGTCCATATTTTGATTGTGCAGTCCTGTGAGCTGCGTTACCTTCAACTCACGGATCAACTTTCCTTCGGAAGTCCATATTTTGATTGTGCAGTCCTGTGAGCTGCATGCAGCAAGAATAAGTCACAATTATTCCTTCGGAAGTCCATATTTTGATTGTGCAGTCCTGTGAGCTGCATGCAGCAAGAATAAGTCACAATTATAAACCAAGAGCAATCTTAGAAACTGCTCTATTTCCCCCTGAGCGAGGTATGGCAGAAGATTAGACCTTTATTTAATAGGTTTTTTAGATATTAGTCCCTTGAATCTTCAATAATTGCATATTAGACCCTAAAATTTTGAAAATTGCATATTAGACCCTTAAATCTTCAATAATTGCATATTAGTCCCTAAAATCTTGAAAATTCCATATTAGCCCCTTACATCTTCAATAACTGCATATTAGTCCCTCATATCATATAGGGTCTTGCACAATAGTCCCTCTGTTAGTATTTCAGTTAAAAAACCTAATCATGGTCGGGTTAACTCCTAATCCAAATCTACAATCACCAAACTGCTCTCTCCGATGTTTCAACCTCTCGTGAAGCTCAACTTTGGGTAAGGTTTTTTCGCTAACCATTGGCGAAGAAGAACACTGGTGAGTTTAGATTTATGTTAAGCAGCTATTAGGTTTCAACATATCAAGAAATTGGTTGGGGAAGATATTAGAGGGGTAAAATGGTCATTTTGCCTACAACTATTAGATTTGACGAAATATTCCCCCAAATCTATCGTGATTTAACTTGAAGGACCATTTTGCAAGATCCAATAGGATTTGAGGGACTAATATGCAATTTCAAAGATTCAAGGGCTAATATGCAATTATTGAAGATTTAAGGGACTAGTATGTAATTTCAAAGATTTGAGGGCCTAATATGAAATTATTGAAGATTTAAGAGACTAATATCTAAAAACCCCATATTTAATACCAGAAAGATAACAGACATAAGGTGCCATAATGGTAAGTCAATGGTTCATATAAGCTACTACAAACTGATTGCACATAATATTTGTAGGCAGCATTAGCAATAGACTGTCTAGAAAGTGCTACTTTTAAGGAGAAAGTAATTAAATGCTTATAAATATTTCCCCAGCTTATAGAAGAAACTATATGTAAAGAAGCATGCTAATTGCTAAATTTGCTAGAAAACATTGGACTACAGGCTGGCATGCAACACAGCAGCAAAAAGTGATATATAAATGTAACTTAGCTCAAAGTAACACTAACAAGAAAATTAAAGCATTGAAAAAAGTTAAAAGTACAATGGTGTATCCACTATACCAGTTTAACATGTTGCTTTGCAAATACTAACATGTAGTTTTCGAAGTAGCAAAAGTCTATTTAACCATATGAATGGATCTGGATCTTACCCTGTGTATATCATTCCATCACCACCCCACTTCACACAGGTGACGGTCTTGGTGTGACCACTAAGGCAATGAAGGCACCTTCTCAATGTAGTATCCCAGATACGAGCATCACCATCCTTACTGGAACTAACAAAACGACGACATGGAGCTGTCAAATGTATGGGCTCCCAAGAAATACCAGTAATCCACTTCTTGTGACCCTAAACATCAGAGGATTTACATTAGAAATCTAAACTTGCTTCTTTTTATTTAACAAATCATGACATGCATGGTATTGCTGACAACTGTCAGCTAAAGGACAAGGATGCTGAACTACGTACATCAACTAAACAAAAGTCACCATTTCAGGGGAAAAGTTCAATTAGGATACTTCCTGAGCTTGCCAGAAAAGTTAATCCACCATATTCGTAATAATAATTTCTTTGAAAACATTTTTTAAAGAATTTTCTGTGAAAAAATATCTTAGAATGAGTTTTTCTTCACTAAAAGACAAGTTCTCAACTGTAGAACAAGAAGCAAGATTAGCATTAGGTAGTATATCTAGAAAATGGATAAAACTTCTCTTTTCTAAATTGATTTAAAGGGAAAAGGCTGTCATATAGCTTAAACATCCGGAACAAACAGAGACCAGTAGTCAATTCAGACAATTTACATATGCAGGAAATGCTAAGGAGATGGTGATGAAAAATACATATACATCACAGTTGTATTACTATCCACTATAACTACTCAAATCCTGAGGTTACAGTCAGAGTTAGGGCACTTTAAGTCATATTTAGACAAATGTACTTTTTCACGTCCCAGCAGTATCTTACTTGTAACAAATATCACCACCTATTATTGCAGAAGGGAAAAAATAATATTACTACCTTCATAGATCCAAAGTGTCTCCTACATGTCTTAAATATAAGAGAGATATAGCTCGTTAGATGAGAGTCTAGATAATCCAATGGTATCATGAGAGATGATTGACGAGTGTTACTGAAGGAAGACAATTTCATGGAAAGATAAAGGACTAAAAGACCCTTTTTAAAATTTTATTAGCAAAATTGACCTAATTTTGATATAATTAGTAAAATCGACCTCTTTTTGGCCAACTGGTCAAAAAGAGGTCAACTTTGCAAATGTGAAGTTTTAAAATACACGGGACTACTAGTCCCGTGTATTTAGTGGTGCCTAATTATACCCTAATGAAGTTTAATTGGTCTTGTGTATTTTTTAAAGTTTAATTAGCATGTGATTAGCCAACACTAATTACACGGGACCACTAGTCCTATGTATTTTAAAAACTATATTTTGCAAAATCGACCAAAGAGGTTGATTTTGCTAATTAAATCCACAAAAGGTCAATTTTGCTAATAAAGTTTCAAAAATGGTCTTTCTTTAAAAAAATCCAAAAACTTACTTCCATGGGCTTATTTGATGAGAATTACTCAATAAAGGCTGCAGTAGAGCCAAATTCTTCTAGGAACTATATGCATTGTCAAAAATAAAATTTATGCCCTAAAGTTAAAGATGTATTGGAAAATGAAATGAGAGTTGTAAGACATTGCAATTTTTTTTTTTTTGTTGGGAGGTGTTAGGGAGAAGAGAGACTAATAACATAATATGGCTACTAACTTATAGGGCAAACTTATAGGAACTATGAAATTAAATAATGATTGGAGGACCTAGGAGCTTACTTACAACTTACAAGCAAAGGAGACATTTACAACTTACAAGTAAAGGAGACACTCAAAGTTGTAGAAACAATCTAGGATCAAGATAACAAGTAAATGAAGTAATGGATTGAAACTAGGAAGGGAGTAATTGTTAGTAATTAACCAGAAACTAAAAGAAAAAAATTATCGTGTTGTACATTCAATTGGCTTTTGTCCAAGAAAGGTTGACAATGAATATGCAAAGGTTATTGACAACGAATAACGTCGCATAGCGTTGAAGCACCGCGAAGGCTATTTAGGGTTATAGCGGCAAATAGCGACAGAAAGTGTAAAGTTAAATGGCGGTCCAATTTAAATATGTATAAATATTTAAAAATCTACAATTGCATATTTGATGATTTATAAAGACCCTAAGGAGGAGGAAGAGGACTCTGATCAGCTTCAATTGGCAGAGAAGCTGGCGAGACAGTGAGAGAGGGGGTTTTTCGGTTAAGCTTGAGTAGTTGGAGAGGAAGAGGTAGGGGTTGAGGTGGAGGGCAGTTGGAGAGGGGTTTTGGGTTTCAGGTGTTGTAGTTGGAGCAGGAGAGGTAGAGGTTGAGGTGGAGTAGTCAAAGAAGGAGAGAAGGAGCGTCGCCGACGATAAAATTGGTGGAGGGCAGAGTTGGTGGGAATCGTGGGACTATGGTTTTTTTCCATCTATTGAGATCAAATCGGAGAGGGAAGAAATAAAAACGAAGGTGGGGGTTTTTAGTTGATTACGGGTCGGGTTTGAGTTGATATTAAACTAAGAATCCATAATGAAAAGCTACTAACCGCTATTACACACTAAAGAAAATAGCGCAGAGAGCGCAATTTTCCACCACTTTCGTTGATATCATTGAGGGTAATGGGTGCTCACGCAATTTGCAGCAGTATAGCAACGCTATTGGGCATTATTTTCAAAATTTTGAGTATGGCATATATTTACTTATAACGGTAGTTGATAGGTCTAGGGGAAGTAAGCTTCAATATTATTGATCTGGAAAAAGCTTAAAGTAAGGTCCCTAGGAAGATGTATATGTCTAGTTCTGAAAAGAAATAGGTCTCTAATAATTATATCGACATGATTGAAGATAGTGATCGAGGATAAATAAAAAGTAATAGCAACTAGCACATAAGAAATTAGATGGGAGCCCCCACCATAGGTTTACACCTAAGATGAGTTAACTTAGTGCATAATGAAGTCCAAAAGTACATACTATTTATAGACGATAGTTTACTAGTTGACAAGAGCATAAACAACAACAATAAGAAAGCTTTTTATCCCAATGTTTTGTTTTCGGCTACACCAAATTCTGGGCATCCAACTACATTAAGATTATCTCCTTCGTTAAGTTATTCGCTATCATATCCTTCTCACCAAGTGTGCTCAATGCCCAACTATAATCTTATTAGTTCTCTTGCTTGATGCATTTAGCGGCCTTCGTTGGGTCATGGCCAAATTATCTCAATTGATTTTCTCATTTTATTTCCAATAGGAGCAAGCTCTAGCTTCTTAAGAATGCACATATTGGTTATACTATGTATATCCATATATCCGTAATAACATTTTCATTTTCTCTACATTCATTTTTTACACATGTTGCTTACCTACCACCATTCTGATGAATCTGGTCCATAAAGGATCATTAGGTTTATAGTTGTCTCGCAGAAATTTTCATCGAATTTCTTGGAAATTATTATATACCAGAGAATCTTCTTGTGCATATCCCATTTTGGGACTATTCAATTGAGTGACATTCTCCAAAAGAGCTAGAAAATTATTTTTTTAACATCTTGTGCATATCCATTGTCCACTCAAAATCGTCTTTATATCATCTAATTGGACCAAAGACACAATTCCCAACCGATATTCTATTATTTTAACTTACATGTGTGTCCACTTGATCTAATTATGAACTTACATGCTCACTTCTTTAATGCACCAAGCAAGGCACTTCTCAATAGTTCATCCAGAAACCGCATCCAATCCATTTAACTAAAAAACCATTCAACAGACCCTCAAATGCTAGTTAAGATTAATTCTCATGTTCTAGGGAACTATTATATACTAGATATTCTTCTTGTGCATATGCCATGTTAGGACTATTCAGTTAGAGTGTGATGCTTCCCATTGGAGGTAGAAAATTGTTTGATTATATATCAAAAGAATCTCTTGTTTTTAACCCTTTTATAAATTGTACAGAATAGTTCGTCATTGTTTAACGTGGCTATTAGAATTATTGTAAATAAGGGTGAATAATAAAAAAGAACATAATTGACAGAACTAAGAATAACTATAAGAAACTAGCACATGAGGACATTTTTGGCCTTGAACTTGTGTAAGTGCTTGTGCATGTGCATATTGTGAATGATCATGCGATCAAATCCCCAAAAAAACTGATGCCTAGACCAGACATTATATTTGATGTTCTAGAACTACTAAGACCTTTGATTCAGCAAATCATTGTTACATAAATGCACAAATTTATTGGATTTGTATTATTGTTGTGTAGTTTTAAAGAAAAATGGTACTCCTATTGAAGAACGACCACAATATGTAAGAATAGAATATAACACTAAAAAAATATCAAGAAGTTTCTAACTTTTTATATGCCACAAGGATGAAGAAACTAGCAAAGATCTGCATCAAAATACCTCACAAGTAAGATAAAAAAGAGTCTACACTAGTCCCCATTAATCAAGAGGACATCTCAACTCATTTTTACTTTGTTTATCATCAAGTACAACCCTTTAGCAGATGGTGCTCGTAGAATGTAAACTGTCAATAGTTGAGATAAGAATTGTATCTTCAAGTTGACATTGGAAGGCATAATACATTGTATATACACAAATATTGTAGAATATAGATAGAAAATCGTGCAAAAAAGAACTTCCATAAAAAGGAGAACTATAATAAAGGACATTGTCATGAAAGAGAAATACTATATTTACCATCCCCCAAATTCAAAGGTGGATCAATGATTAACACAAATTATAGATAAAAAGTATCAACATCAAAGAAGAAAACTAGGTGACGACCCAATTGAATGGTGAACGGTAAGAATCCTACGACATAGAAAACTCGATGATGACGAGAGTGATGGTAACTGGTAGGATTCCAAGCACATTGACCGAGAAAAACTCGATGATCTATATAGAGACTATTGAGAGAGGAAGACCTCAAGGAGAAAATATTAATCTGGATTTCTATTCTTCATTATCACGCTTGTCACTATTGAATTATAATGTCGATGTCTTTGGATTACAATCCTTGGCCATTTGATCTCATCGCTGCCAAGATTTTCTCTCTCGATATTGATCCTTTGTTGTTTACCTTGTCACTTTCGTTGATTTATTTGTCCATTCGCCTATTTTGAGTTTTTCATCAGGATTCAGATATTTTTTTATTATTCTTATTCAGACTCCCAATTGTTATCCACAATGAGTTTGAGAGGGATGTTAACCATAGTATTCTAGTGGTTTTACTTCATAATATTGTTCCATTCTTGCAAATAATGAAAGTGGGTAGGGTCTACTTTTAACAGAAGATTGAAAGCAATATGGACCAAGTTTGGGTGGAAACATTAATAAGATAGGTACATAGGCAACTTCAAAGGCCCGAATATTTCAAAAGGCACTTACGGCCTACATTGTTTTCAATGATGAGATTGTATCTAGGCAAACGTTGTTAAGTGCTGAAATTGATATGATACATAAGTTAACTATATTTGTGTGGACCTATTTTACAAAAATATTCATTAAACGTCAAAAAAGTTGAATGCCTACATACCTTAAGCACATGGCCTAGAATAGAACCAATGGTCGGGTGCATGTTCCATAAATTTGGTGATTATCAAATAAGGAAAAGCTAGGTTCCTTATTGGGGACTTTGAGGACATATAAATATAGCTATGTATATCTACGAGAGTATCCTATATGATCAATAGTTATGTACATTGTATTGTGCGATAGTTCGTGCTCATACATAACCTATGACCTAGTTTGTTGCTCATATAATAGATTTATCCTGCTTTACAACTACATCAGATGTAGAACCTCAAGAATGCATGGGGAAGAAGGTTCACGTTTCATGTAATATATTCTGCGAAGCGTCAAATAAGCAATATGTCTCCAGAACCTACTAGATCAGCAGCATCATGATGTTCCATAAATTTGGTGATTATCAAATAAGGAAAAGCTAGGTTCCTTATTGGGGACTTTGAGGACATATAAATATAGCAATGTATATTTACGAGAGTATCCTATATGATCAATAGTTATGTACATTGTATTGTGCGATAGTTCGTGCTCAAACATAACCTATGACCTGGTTTGTTGCTCATATAATAGATTTATCCTGTTTTACAACTACATCAGATGTAGAACCTCAAGAATGCATGGGGAAGAAGGTTCACGTTTCATGTAATATATTCTGTGAAGCGTCAAATAAGCAATATGTCTCCAGGACCTACTAGATCAGCAGCATCATGATGTTCAAGCTCATGCTAGCTTATACATAGTTGGAATACGATAAAAGACATAAAATTAGATAGATCACATAATCTAATGACAGAAAGTAGAAATTAAATAATAATAAATGAGATTACCTGATCATTTTGACTCAACATCAATAAAGAGGTAATGACTTGGCCTATCAATGCATAATGATTATTTAAGAAAGAAGACGGATCTCACTATCTGATGCTGAAATACCATAGTTTTTTTATGAAGAAAATATTATGCTTGGCTAAAATGTTATCCAAGAGAGAAATTACACAAATATTGGTATGTACTTTATTTACTATAATCTGGCAAAGATAAGACCTTAAGTTGATAATGATAAGTTGTAAAAACATAATGCTACAAGACTAGATAATAAGATGTCATAGTATTAAAGCGCTAGGAATAATGTTCTTAATAAAGAAGCTGCTTGGTAAATGCTAATATAAAATGGCTGTTCCATGGACTTTACCATAAGAGGCTTGCCAGACAGCTTCCCAGTTTGTGGATCCCATGTTAAAAGTTCCCCAGATTTGCTACCACTCGCTAGATGTTTGCCATCCGGCGACCATGCAATATACAGAACCCAATTTTTATGTCCTAAACAAAACACGAGAAGGTAAATTTAGTACCAGTTTCAAGATACTCTCACAATTAAATGCTTGTGGACTCCATAATTAAAGAATTTTGAAAACTCAAAAATTGTTATCCACTTAAGAAGCTTTTTATTTCTCCAAGAAAATAAATAAAGTGCTCCAAAGCATGAAGAAAAATTAATGTGTATACACCCACATACATGTGCACCCTGCCCATGCACTCAACATGTAATTAAACAAAAATGAACAGCATCTGTCCAAGATTTAAAAAAATTAAAGATCGAAGATGGAGTTGACATTCACAATTCATAAATGTTATGTATAAGAACAAATTTTTTTCTCATTGCCTGATGTTAAAGTGATGAGCATTCTGTTAGCCAAACTACTTGGCTCTCAGTATAATTAAGAACCACCAGAAATTTCATTTGCTGGGATCCCTTGGGGATGAGGAATATGGAAGAGAGAGAGGGAGAAGTTTGAGTATCAACTTAACAAGTTACAAATTAACAATCATAGTCTTCTGCAATTAGATACTTTGTTCAGAAAGTAACTTATCGTCCAATCACTCAACAACCAACCTTCTCTCCTTTTGATCTTCCGAGTCATAACCTAACTCGAATGTCCCTAAGCCATCAAGATCCACTTCACCTCTGTTCGCAATTAGGGCATCTGTCTGATGTTGATAGCATTTGCTCCTGAAACTCATAGCACTTCAGAGATGAAGTTGTGGGAAGTTGTGTCATCTCTGACCTCACTAGCATTCCTCAAGGTCAGAGATGAAGTTGTGGGAAGTTATGTCATCTCTGACCTCACTAGCATTCAATATCTCCACCTCAAGGTCAAACCTTTGTGCTTGTTTCAAAATACAATGTGCAGCATGAAAGAGATGCATGCTGGCCACTTGACTGTACATGACAATATCAACCTCACTTCACTAACAATTTCCAAATTTGTACAGCACTAACAACGAGAATCCCCTGCAAACTCAAATAGGGGCACCACATGAACATTACGATCCCTTGGACCCCTACGATAAAGGCAGGCCTCAAGCACAGTGACACACTGATGTCCAGTACTTGATTCCAGGTACACTGGGAGGCCTCCATAACCAACAGCCCACTCCCTTCTGTATTATGAGAACTTCTAGAAAAGAGTCTACTATACGGCACAGGGCGAGAATTAAAAATGAATTTACTAGGTAGTGAGCTCATCGCTAATAGGTGCCACTGCTATAGAGATCCCCTTTATAGTGGATGTCGGCTTGTTGTCAAATAAATCAATTAATTTCTCTCTTTCCTAAACCTAAAACTAACGACAGATTGCTGACACAATTTTTAAATGGAGTCCTAAAGATATGACACCATCAGATTAAGGGACCACCATAAATCCGAGTCTATAATTGCTCGAATAGCTAACAAGAATTGACACCTATGGTGAGACTTTTCTCACAACAGGAATAGCTGACATAGCCCCCCAGACCATAGATGATAACTTCATCTGTGTGAACACCAGATGAATACTCTACCAAGTGATGAGATTATAAAGGTGGCTTTTAGGGACAACCCTGTATGGAATGACACTTTGCACCATGTAGTATTAAGCTTCATGTGCTTTATTCCTCTCACTTGCAGCTAGTGTTGGCTCATATAAAATTGTGATATACACAATTGTGACATACACCAGAACTTTGAGAATTTTTTTTCTATGGTTCCTCAAAAAACTAGCTAATTATTGACTTCATTGGAGTTGCTACATGCCAAACCTAACTATTACATCATACTTGTATGTGACAATAAGGGGCATGTATTGATGGGTTATTTTATGTGTTTTGAGATTAGTTTCTTTGGTAGCTTTGATTGGAACTTTCAGACCCAAACCAACTGAAAACTGATATGAAGTAAAAATTGAGAGCCTAACAAACCAGACATAGCTTTAGCAATGAAACTGAAAATGTAACGAGGTTGATTATGTTGTGTTTGACTTTCATCAGAACCAAACAGTGTACTCATAGATTATTAATTCTTGTTTAAATTTGCATTCTTCTGTCTAAGGGAGCATAGCCTTAAAAATAAGAACTAACCAAAAAATTGAGGAAAGGTAGTTACCCATCGTTAAATATGTCATAAGAACAGACAATTTAACAGAACTTTCTAAATTAAACAGGAGATAATAAAACAAAGTCACAAGCTTGCCTGTGCATGTGAACAAAGGTGTCTGTGTAGTAAGATCCCATAATCGAACTGTGGTATCTCCAGAGCCGCTGGCCAAGTGCTTACCATCAGGGCTGAAGGAAACAGAAAGTACAGCTTCTGTATGACCTGCAAAAATCGGTAAGACCTAGGATAAGATGGCACCACAATAGAACAATGTCAAAGATAAACTTGAAAAGTACAACTTCCCGTCCTCATAGCTTGGAGAACTTCCAAGAAGAAAAAACATGGAGAACCATATTGATCATCTATTTGCACATGACATTAAGTAAGAAACAAATAAGAGAGAATAGCGATCAAAACAGGCTCTAATGTAAAAGTAACAGCCACAGGAAGCGTTCAGTAGTTATTGTACATGAGCTAACAGAACACACAACCAGTTATCGATAAATCATTTTAACATTTCCATGATTAAGATTGCATATAATATCCCTTGTTGCTGCAAGGAACAAGGAGGTTAATATCAGACGCAACAAAAGATAAAACCCAAATCCTCAGATGAAGTAATCTAATCCATAACTGGGTTTGCTAAAGGTCAGTTTAAGTGAATAGAACAAGAGCCATGTTGATTTTTCTAGTATGGCATTAAATAAGATGGTTTACATAAAAGGTGCTACTCCAGCCTTCCAGTGAATATTGATTAATTACTTATACATGATTACACATGATGATGTAAAAAAGATAAGCTGGAGATGTTGATGCACCTAGACATTCTATCCAACGTTCTGACATGTGCAGGAAGCCAGTCTCTTGAGGACCCCCAAACTTGAACATGAATTTCATCTCCAAATTTGACCAACACTTTCATTTTCCAAGTACCAATTGAACGGATCATAAAGAACAGTACTAACTGTAGCTGCAAACTCTCAACCAAGAGATTCTACTCAACGAAAGTGCTAGCAGATTCCATCTCCTAACTCTAGTCGAACAAGTTGAGGTCAAATATTTATGCATGTGGGTGATACTACACTAGCAGCACCATGCAGAGAAAACAGAGCGGGTACATTGAGAGTACAAACAATTAAGGTATACAAAGGTAACAACCAACCTGCAATAGTTGCAGAGCATCGATTGACAGGACGAATTCTGAAGATTGCTTGAGGTTGGTACACAATACAAAGTACCTTCTCCACCGATACTGCATGATAGATCAAAATAAAATGCGAGGAACCGAACATTTAAAAAAAAAAATCAAAAAGCTTGTCAGTACGGAAATGTCATCAGACAGGAACACTTAATAAACTTTTCCACTCGCCTTTGTTCTTCTGAAGGTAACTGCCAAGCTGAACAACAAGCTCCTGATCTGATATGTAAAATGCATAAGGCAACCTTTCCTCCTGTATTAAAGAAGGAACAGATAAATAAACAAATGATATTGTTTTCTAGCTTTCACTGCCCGTATCTATTATCTTGAAACTAGTTTTCTTGGATTTCAATGAGAAAACGATCCCGGTGGTTGTTCATTTTGAATATGTATTCATCAAATCATAATATACCACGGCATGAGTGATTCAAGAACAGCCAGAATTTTAACCAAGATTTCGAAGATTTTACATTGCAGAGAAGCTGGTTGACAAGCTGTTGAAGCTGGGGCGGGCCTGCGGATTGAGGGAGGTATAACGGAGCTCCGAGAGGCTGCCCCTCTGGGTCCGTTAACTGACACATAACGTTGTTGCTGCTGGTTTTAGGGTCGAGCTCCATCATCTCTTTGCTTTGTTCGATCACCTCCATTGATCTTTGTGGGTGCAATTGGGCTAGGGTTTGTGCGTTTGAATTGGGGATTTGGAGGGTTTTGATGGGAATTTGGGTGGGAACGGGCGCGGGTGGGGGTAGAGAGAAAAAACCCAACTCCTAGGGTTTTCGGTCAGGTAGTTATATGGAGAGACAGAGGGCGAAATAGTGAAATCTAGTACCGCCAGCCATCGAGTTACGCGCTGCAAAGCATTAATATTTTCAAATTGCTCCCTCATATCACTCGTATTGCTTATGACATCCACCAATTGTCATAAGCTATTGCGAAACCAGCCCCTCGTATCATCAAAATTAATATCATGCTAAATTGCACTAGAACAACTTATGTTTCACTCACTTAGTAGATGTATAAACTTAGTTGTTTTTAAGAGCATTTATTGTTGGATTTAATCTAATAAATCTATTTGTGGGCACATATGATTAATCATTGTGTATTGCTATCTTTCAGGATAACCCACTGAAGTGATCAATTAAGTTGGGTTAATTTGGTATTTAAATGATCATGGGGTCATATGTGCAGATACCAGGTTGTAATTGTAATTTATTGAGGGGCTAAATTACAAAAGTACAACATCTATAAATAAGGGGTTATGGTCCCTAACCTAGGGTTACATTCTCTAATTCTCTTCACCCCCATCTAAGAGAGAAATTCGGCTAAAGAGAAAACCCTAAGGTTAGAAGATCCAAAACCCAAAATCAAGATCAAGCAATGGATTCAGGTATAAGCTTCCGCTCTCTTTTGATTTTGTTAATCTCTTTGAATTAATCATGGCTATATGGTTTTAGATCTCAAGTTTTATGATGTAGATCTAACAAGTGGTATCAGAGCCACCTTGATTAATTCTTAGGGATTTAAGTTTTATTGGGTTTTTGATCTTAAATCTCTAGTTAAAGATTCAATTTTTGGGTTCGGATGAACAGTAATGTTCTCGGATGAACAGTAACGGAATTTTTTTCGGATGAACAGTAAAGTTTTTTGTTCGGGTGAACAGTAACTGAAAAATCGCCGGTGAACAGTGCCTTTTTGGAATTTTTTGGATTTTCTTTGATTTTTTTTTCTTCAATTTTTCCAATTCTGGATCTGTTTTGAAAATAAAAATCAAAGGTTTTTTGGGTTTGTCGGCGGCGGTTTCAATTTGAAACCCTAAGGGTTCATGGCGAAAATCAAGGAGGTGGTTACCTCAAACGAACCTCGCGTTCGTTCAATTTTAACCGAGCTTCGCACTCAACGAACCTCGCGTTCGTTCTAAGGTGAACCTCGCGTTCAACTCAGGTGAGCGTCAAGCTCAATTTTAACGAACCTCGCGTTCGTTCTAAGGTGAACCTCGCGTTCAACTCAGGTGAGCGTCAAGCTCAATTTTAACGAACCTCGCGTTCGTTCTAAGGTGAACCTCGCGTTCAACTCAGGTGAGCGTCAAGCTCAATTTTAACGAACCTCGCGTTCGTTCTAAGGTGAACCTCGCGTTCAACTCAGGTGAGCGTCAAGCTCAATTTTAACGAACCTCGCGTTCGTTCTAAGGTGAACCTCGCGTTCAACTCAGGTGAGCGTCAAGCTCAATTTTAACGAACCTCGCGTTCGTGCTTCAGGCGAGCCTCGCGTTCGAGCTTCAGACGAACCTCGCGTTCGTGCTTCAGTCGAACCTCGCGTTCGAACTTCAGACGAACCTCGCGTTCGTGCTTCAGTCGAACCTCGCGTTCGAACTTCAGACGAACCTCGCGTTCGTACTTCAGACGAACCTCGCGTTCGTACTTCAGTTGAACCTCGCGTTCATTATTTAAACGAACCTCGCAACCTCGCGTTCGTTCTAAGGTGAACCTCGCGTTCAACTCAGGTGAGCGTCAAGCTCAATTTTTTTAACGAACCTCGCGTTCGTTCTTCAGACGAACCTCGCGTTCGTACTTCAGACGAACCTCGCGTTCGTACTTCAGACGAACCTCGCGTTCGTACTTCAGACGAACCTCGCGTTCGTACTTCAGACGAACCTCGCGTTCGTACTTCAGACGAACCTCGCGTTCGTACTTCAGACGAACCTCGCGTTCGTACTTCAGACGAACCTCGCGTTCGTGCTTCAGTCGAGCCTCGCGTTCGAACTTCAGACGAACCTCGCGTTCGTACTTCAGACGAACCTCGCGTTCGTACTTCAGTCGAACCTCGCGTTCATTTTTTAAACGAACCTCGCGTTCGTTCCCAAGTTGAACCTCGCGTTCTTTTATCAAACGAACCTCGCGTTCGTTCATTTTCAGACGAACCTCGCGTTCGTGCTTAAGTGAGTCTCGTACTCAATACAGTCGAACCTCGCGTTCGAAGTTAAGGGAACTTCGTGTTCATTATGGTTAAGCCTCGGCTTTTCATGGGTCCACTTTGGTATACTTAATTTATTCAATTAAGTTATGGGCCCTAATTAAGCTGTGAGACCCCAATTAAGTTTTTGGAAATTCAGTTGATTTAAATTAAAACTTTTTAATTTAAATCTAATTTGGTTTTTAATCAATTATTTAATTCAAATATTATGACACTAAGGTATTAAGGTTGTCTCTCACTCCAATTGATTAATTGAAACAAGAAGTTGCCAAAGTAACCTCTCTTGTGTAGATTGTTCATGAGGAATGTGAGATGTTTGTGTGTATGCTTTCGTGTAAATATTTAATCGGCCCAAAGGAAGGTTAATATTTATTTAGACTGTATACACATCTGCGATGATAAGCGTGTGACAATTATAAGGTTTACATGTGAATAATGAATCGATCCAAAGATAGTTTCATTATTTGACATGAGTTATTGTCAATGTTTGATCATTGCAACAAGGTATCACTTACAAGTTAATATTACTGTCCAAAGACTTGATATTAATGTTGTGCCGGTATCTTGGATGGGGATTGTCATTATTTGAATTTTATTGATTATGGTTATTGATGTGAGCATTTTTGTTTTATTTCAGCTAATGCATCTGCTGCAACAATTTCTGCTAACATCAACTCAATTCCCATGCTAAATGGGACAAACTTCAAGGTTTGGAAAGAGAACATATTAATTGTTCTTGGCTGCATGGATCTTGACTATGCATTAAGAACTGAACAACCCCAACCTCTCAATGCGGATAGCACTCCTGATGCAAAGAAGGAGCATGAGAAGTGGGAGCGTTCAAATCGCATGAGTCTTATGATCATTAAGCGCGGCGTTCCGGAAGCCTTCAGGGGCATAGAATCCGAAGGGATTACTAAGGCTAAAGATTTCCTTGCCGAAATTGAGAAGCGTTTTGCGAAAAACGATAAGGTAGAAACAAGCACGCTTTTAGCTCGCTTGATTTCAATGAAGTATAAGGGCAAAGGAAATATCAGGGAGTACATTATGGAAATGTCTCATATTGCTTCAAAGCTTAAGGCACTTAAACTCGATCTTTGTGACGAGTTATTAGTGCATCTGGTTTTGTTGTCTCTTCCTGCACAGTTTAACCAATTTAAGGTCAGTTATAACTGTCAAAAGGAGAAATGGACTCTAAATGAGCTCATTTCATACTGTGTGCAAGAAGAAGACAGGTTGAAGCAAGATAAGACAGAAAGTGCTCATTTGGCCTATGCCTCTAAGGATAAGGGCAAGAAAAGGAAGAATGATAAGGAAGCTGCTAAGGGTCCAGTTGAGAAGAAACAACATAAGGATAATCAGGGTTGTTTCTTCTGTAAGAAGCCTGGACATGTAAAGAAGGACTGTACAAAATATCACGCCTGGCGTGATAATAAGGGTACGTTCCTTGCTTTGGTCTGTTCTGAGGTTAATTTAGCTTCAGTACCTAGAAACACTTGGTGGTTAGACTCTGGTGCTACTACTCACATAAGTGTTTCTATGCAGGGTTGCCTGAGCTACCGAAAGCCAAGTGATGTTGAAAGACACATCTTTGTGGGCGACGGACAATCGGTAGATGTGGAAGCAATTGGGCACTTTAGGTTGTTGTTAGGAACTGGTTATTATTTGGATTTAAAAGATACTTTTGTAGTACCGTCTTTTAGACGGAATTTGGTTTCTGTTTCTGTATTGGACAAATCAGGTTATTCTTGTTCATTTGGAAACAGTCAATTCAGTTTATCTTTTAATTCAAATGTTGTGGGAACCGGTTACTTGAGTATTTATGACAACCTATATTTGCTTGATACAATTGCTTCTTACAATGAATCCTTGCATGTGGAATCACGTGGTACTAAGCGTAAATTAAATAAGGAAAATTCGGCGACATTATGGCATAAGCGCTTAGGTCATATCTCAAAAGGTAGAGTTGAGCGTCTTGTGTCTGATGGCATTTTGGATTCCCTTGATTTTTCGGACTTCGACGTATGTGTTGAATGTATCAAGGGAAAACAGACCAAAGTGAAGAGATTAGGTGCCAACAGATCTTCGGATGTCTTAGAATTGATACATACGGATATTTGTGGGCCATTCCCTACGGAATCCTGGAATGGTCAACAATATTTTATATCATTCATAGACGATTACTCACGTTATGGGCACCTATATCTTATTCATGAAAAATCTGAGTCTCTGGACATGTTCAAAGCCTATAAAGCTGAAGTTGAGAATCAACTCAACAGAAGAATTAAAACCGTCAGATCTGATCGTGGTGGTGAGTACTACGGTAGATATGATGGTTCAGGTGAACAACGTCCAGGACCATTTGCTAGATACCTAGAGGAATGCGGTATCGTCCCACAGTACACTATGCCGGGTTCACCTAGCATGAATGGTGTAGCTGAAAGACGAAACAGGACTCTTAAGGATATGGTAAGAAGTATGATTGCTCATTCTTCTTTACCAGAGTCACTCTGGGGAGAAGCACTTAAGACAGCAGCTTACATTCTGAATAGAGTACCAAGTAAAGCAGTTGCTAAAACACCTTATGAGCTTTGGACTGGTCGAAAGCCCAGTTTAAAGCATTTACATATTTGGGGATGTCCAGCTGAGGCAAGGCCTTATAGGCCAAATGAAAAGAAATTGGACTCCAAAACAGTTAGCAGCTACTTTATTGGGTACCCTGATCGCTCTAGGGGCTATAAGTTTTATGATCCCACTATAAGGAATATTTTTGAGACGGGAACAGCAACATTCTTTGAGGATGTTGAGTTTGGGGGGAGAAATAAGGTTAGAGACATT